GTGGGGAATTGTGCTATGGGCAGCAGGCAGTGTGTTCCACAGACATCCAGGGTGGCCAACAGTCAGCTCAGCAGAGGGTGGTTGAAAGAGCTGTGGCTGTATTACCAGGAGCTCACTGTGGCTCCATTTGCACGAACAAAACCCAAACCCAACCAGGAAACAATACTCAAGCATGCACTTACGTCCATGAGATGGACCAGTGAAGATTAAAATAATTTCTTTACATATTCACCTAAAGGGATGTGCGTGATAGTTTCAGGGTATAAAATCTAGCAGCAGAGTAGTATGAATGGTGAGATCCCATTTTGGCTAAAAGGAAGAAATAAAGGAAGAAGGCAGAGAGGAGGAAGTGAGGGAAGGAGGAAGGGAGAGAGAAAGATGGGCAGAGAGACTATTTATACTTGTTTATTTCAACACCAAGAAATCAAGAAAGACATGGAAGTATTCTCCACAATGTGCCGGCAGGGACTGGGGTAGGAGCAGAGAGACTCTTAACTTTTTATTTATATATTGCCATGTTAATTTACTAGTTTCAGTGATCCTATTTTACTTTTATTAAAGAAGCTAATGAATGAACTAAGAAAATTAAAAAGAGCTTCTGAGGCATCCTCCTGAGCCACTCGGTCCGCTACCTGCTCAGGCTGGCCTTCCCAGCCCTCTAGGGGCACACTCTGTGTGGCCAGCCTGGCCCACGCCCCTGACCTACGCAGCTAAAGCTGACTGCCACGTGGCCCCCACAGTGTTCCACAGCCCACGCCCACATAGTGTCAGATTCATCCCCTCAGTGCCCTGTGGGGACAGCAGGGTGACGACACTGGATCTTACTCAGAGCCCAGGAGTCAAGGACCAATAGGCTGGTGTACTGGGCCCCCCGTGCTGTGGCCACCCCCCACTAGCTCCCTTTTGCCTCCCCTGGGTCTATGAAACCCAGCAGCACAGCCAGGGCCTCATGAAGAGGGGGGAAGGACTCGCCAGTAGGACACCAAATATCTCCACTTCCAAGTTAGGGCTTTAATGCAACTAACCAACAAGCTACTCAGCAAAGAAGCCCGAGCTTCTGACGGCAGGTGCAGTAACCACTGCACACTTACTCAGCACTTAAGAGCTGACAGAGCTGTCAAGGCAGCACTGCATTCCCAGCCAGCACTGTGGTGTGTGGCAGCAAACTGACGTTCCTTCCATGTTTAGAAATCAGATGGGTTCCATTTATTGAGGGATCACCAGGTATCCCATTAGTTCCATTCCATGGTTGTGGAAACTGGGGCACAAGCGGATGCAATGACGTGCCCAGAGTCACCTGCTTCACACATAGAGGAGATGAGACTCAGGTTCTGATACACCTGACTTCAGACCCTTGGCTCCAGGTCTGCCCGAGTCCCATGCATGGCAACTACAGAGTGACTCTGTTATAACTATATGTGCCTCATTATGAGAATATATGTTATTCCCATTTAATTGGCAATTTTTATTTTATGCTTAAAACCAGGGGAATGGGCTCGGCGCCTGTAGCTCAGCAGCTGAGGCACTGGTCACATACACCAAGGCTGGTGGGTTTGAACCCAGTCCAGGTCCGCCAAACAACAATGACAACTCCAACCAAAAAATAGCTGGGCGTAGTGGTGGGCACCTGTAGTCCCAGCTGCTTAGGAGGCCGAGGCAAGAGAATCACTTAATCCCAAGAGTTTGAGGTTGCTGTGAGCTGTGATGCTACAGCACTCTACCAAGGGTGACATACTGAGACTCTATTTCAAACAAAAAACCAACAAAAAAACCCCAGGGGAATGCAGACTTTTAGCATTTCCCTTTAGTTTTGTGAGTCTGGTCAAATTTATGTGATATTCACAGATCAATAGTAAAATCTGCCAGGGCCAGAAAAGACCCCTGGCACTTAACCTTTCCTTTACACGAGATGCTGGAGAAAATCACCCACATGAGGCCCTGATGAAAGGGCAAAAGTTCACTGCTACTGATAACTGTGACCTCTCAGAAAGGTCAGCCTGGCTGCTGCAGCTGTGTGGCTGCAGACGGGAGGAGAGGCTACACGTGAATGCAGTTAGGACCAATGCATCTTTAACAAGGTCTTGGTAATGACTCTCTGCCCAGGATCTGGATTAACTGATGTACTGCCACAGAGCGGATGAGACAGAAGAACACATGAGAAAGGCACTGTAAGGACAACGTGAACCACTGAGTGAGAGGCAGGGGAGGTCTCACAGGGACAAGCGGAGAGACAGAGACAG